TTTTTTTTTTTTTTTTTTTTTTTAACCCCTTTTACCTGTTTGTATGCTAGGAGTTCCCCCCTTACGATTTATGATACGATTAAACAAGGTTTTGGAATACCCCATCATTGTGTATCACTCGTGGTCTACACCGGAGGGGGAGGTTGGAAAGGAAAAACTCGGCATGAAATATCATACTCGCCGAGAGTATATGAATATACACAAGGGGGTTGGTTGCAAAACATCAACTAGACCCACCGATGATCACTTTGGTTTCTTTTTTGTATAACTTTTTCCCACGCCATGAAGGAAACAGAACCCAGAGACACCATTACATGAACCCCTTATTTTTCATCCCAGAGACCAACCCCATACCTCCACCCACACATCACTTAATAGGTCTTTGCAAGGTTACGGAGGTACCAGTCCACAAGCCTTCTTCCGACCTTAGCTTCCGAGATATGAATTAAGTCCTACGGTGCACTGATTAACATGATTCTTTTCGGGCAATACAGGAAGGCTTACTCCTTGCAGGGCAAAATCCAAATCAGAGGTATTAACAGTATCCCCTTCCAACAGGCCACCCTCTATCCATCTGGTCTGCCTGCTCCTCTGTTTGTAAACCAACAGCTGAGTCCTCAGAACCTCAGGATCAACTTCGATAAACGCAGCAAGTTTGTTCAGATCCATGGTAGTGTATAGCTTGAGGTAGCTCTTCAGTGTAGGCGCTAGCATAGAGTTCCGTACATCTGCCATAAAAATCTGAAGATGGTGTTGCGAGGGGTCGATATTGCTCTCTGGCTTATCAAAATCTGGGGGGATGGGAGAGATGAATTTAGGGCATGCAGACATGAACAGCTGCTCGTAGATTTGCAGGGCATCGGGGCCTCCGCGTTGCATCTTGGTAAACTGCTCACCGTATTTCTCACGCAGAGAAGCATGGATGGTGTCATCGAGGCGAGTAGGGCAGAGAGCTACACAAATAGCGATGAGAGCATACATCTGGTCGTTCTTCTTAGTAATCTGGAAGCAAGGTGTTAGCAAGCACTAGCGGGTGCACGAACACCGGTAGAAGCGATTGACGTGACATACGGAATCGAATTGGGCATTCTTCTGAAAGTTCTTGGTTCGTGAGACGTAGACAAGGATGTGAGAAAAGGCCTTGATGGCATCTGCATATCTTCTCATCATCATGTAGCTGAATCCAACGTAGTAGTATCTATGCGGGCGTCAGTATCGATTGTAGCCGAAGAGAGAGTGGTTACGGGAGTGAAAGCTTACGTCGTGAAATGAGCTGCCATTACCCGAGCGAAGACAGCCTTCTTGTTCAGCTCTATGTCATCCAAGGTTTTGAGCGCCAGCGTAAAGTCACCAAGCAGACAATGAACCCGGAGCAGCCCAATGATACTGAAGTAGCCCAGCATTCGGTACAACGGGCGAGACCCATATTCACCAGAAACCTCACTATAGCACCCAAATCAGCACCAGGCTCCATCTGATCCCCAATATCGGAAATGGTCACTTGCTTTGGGTCCTGTCCCTTCTTGATAGCTGCGAGCTGCTCGTTCATCTGCGAGCGCTGGATCAAAGAGTAGAGAACGTTAAGTACACTATAGCACCCCCAAGTTTGCGGGTTATCACACAACAGCTTTCTCTCCTCCTCACTGCCACCGGCCTCTTTCCGAGCCACAACATTGCGATGACTGCAGAAGCTGTTAAACTGATAGATAAACTCATCGATAACATCCCAAGCCCAGTAGTACTAACAGCGAACCATCATCAGCTTATTCCCTCTAGGGAAGCACAGAAACAAAGAAACAGGGGCGTTCAATCCGCAGGATGCTACCGTTGTTGCGTCCACTTGTCCCGTAGGAGTATCAACATAATGTGAAAGTGAACCTACAGTCGGTAGCTCTAGATCCACTGGTCCATCCGAATTGAGGATAAAGTGAAAAAGAGTACAGTAATTGTCGTAACTGTCAAACCGATTCTGTAGCGGGGCTTGAAAGTCCAGGGGAGTAGCTGCGGCAGCTAGTCGCTGTTGGATATTTTCACCAGATATTTGGAGGCTCCCACCCGCCGATTCCATGTCATCGTAGTCGCCGTCATCTCGAAGTGCCTCATCGACTAAAGTTGAGGCGAGGACCTCGTCGTCGGTATCCGACTCCTCGCGGAGACGGCGAGTTGTACCGGTGAAGTTTTGGCTCGCCAACATGTTTGTTGCGGCGGGGGATGGATGGAGGGAGGAGGAGGTTGTGGTAAGGTATGATATGGTTAACTTTTTTTTTTTTTTTTTTTCCTCAATCCGTCGCCCACTTCAACGCCGGAACGAGCAGCCTCTCCAGATTGGAGTTGAGCCCCGCTGTGGTAGTCGCTGTGGGGATCGAAGATTAGGGTTTACCCTCCTTCAGCTCATGTGGAATCACTCATACCATGATTTTTTTTTCATTTTTCATGGAGGGACGCTGTCATGCCTCTTGATCGAGCCACGAGAAATAGGTATGATATTATGATACCGATATCACACGTACCCTACCAAGTATTGAGGAGGAGGAAATTTCGTTTTCCGTGTGATACTTTGGGTAATCGATCATTGGATGCGGAATGCTTCACCCGAGCGGTCCAAAACCTGCACGGAAATTTCATAACTTTCAAACCCTGCCCTCCACCATGCGACTATTCGAAAACAACGGCACAACAGTAGCAGCGACCCGATCTGTGAAGAGAGGAGAAGGAGAATAGCCGCATTTTTATTGAAAATGTATGACATCGGGCAGAGAAAGACTGATTTCCAAGTTCTTCCTTTATTTGGATTAGTCATCAAAATTTCCGTGCCCGGACTGCCCTCTGTTGGCAAGAAGAAGAAAAAAAACATCAAAGATCAACCTACCGGTATCTGGAGATATACCGGTACACGGTGATTAGAATAGATTGTGAATAGATATTTGCGGGGAGCTGATTATTGGGTTCTAAGGACTTTATAATTGCTCCAAAGGAACGATAGTCTACAAAAACGGCAAACGCCTTACACGGAAGGATGGAGTGGTTGGCGCAAAGATCTGCTTCGCCGTGTAACATTCTTATTTCGGCCATGTGCACTTTTTGGAACGCTCGAACCATACGGTTACTTAATTAGTTTTGCGTGCGGTATCATATCATACCCGCATGATAGAATAAAGCCCGTCGAGAACCCTAGCCCCCTGCCCCTCGGCGGAAATACCAGTGTGGAAGGGATATGTTTACTCAATTTTTTGTTTGATATCATACGGTATCATGGATGGCTTGGCTCGCTTTATTTTCTGCATATCATACTGTACATGTACAGGCGCACTCTTTCCCCCTTTGGTTAGGCAATGAGCCAAACCACTTGGCAGACCGATAGACGTCGTTTTTCCTTTCATCTCTGTTGGGTCTGATTGCTTTCCAAAGTTATCATACTTTTTTGAGGGCCTCCCATAGTCGTATAACACTTGGGCCAGACGCACGGGACGAGCTCTCCGCTAAATATGTCTGAGGCGCAGGTGCCGTCAAGATGGAAGTGTGCCGTAATCCAACTCCACCCCGAGCCGATGCAGCTGGAGGACAACTTCAATCGTGCCCAGGACTTCATCCGGAAAGCTGCTGAGGCGGGTGCTCGACTGGCGGTCCTGCCTGAGTATTCCCTCACCTCGTGGGTCCCAGATGACCCTGAATTTGCGGATGCGCACGTCGATGGAAAGTACCTTTCCAAGTTCTGCGTATGTTACCCTTGCAAATTGCCGCTCAGTTGTGCTGGGCTGATGTGTCTTGGGGGAGGGATAGGAGCTGGCGAAGGAGTGCGATATCAATATTGTCCCGGGCACATTCGTTGAGAAACATGTCGACGGTGGAAAGCGTATGCTGTACAACGTTGCCTACTTCATATCGAATGAGGGAAAGGTATTGGGCTCGTATACAAAGAAGAATCTCTGGTTTTTAGCTTTCTTTTATCCCAGCAGCTATGAACTTGACTGAAATGTGGATAGGCATACCGAGAGGGCGCACTTAGAAGCCGGTGGAGACAATCCGCATACAATTTTGGATACTCCGATTGGAAAAGTTGGTCTCTTGATATGCTGGGATTTGGCCTGTACGCCACCACTTCCTGCTCGCCTCGGCGAGGAAATTGCGTGTAGAGAGGTTGACCTGAGGCACAGTTCCAGAAGCATTCCGGGCACTTATAATGCAGGGCGCAAAAGTCATTATAATTCCCTCCTTCTGTAAGATATTTTCAACCACCATAGCATAACACTTCTGGTGATTAAACAGCTAAGCATCATCTGGGGGAAGGGACATTATTGGACCTGACAGAACCCGCATTACGATGGAACCCTAAGTCCGAGGCTATATATCTTGGATCCACTGTAATATCACGCGCTTTTGAGAACACCTCGTGCATCGCTTTCGCGAACGTTGGTGGGCGAGAGGACTCCGGCTTTGCTGGATTGTCACAAATAGCGATGCCTCTGATGGGGGATATTGCAAAGGCTGAGGGCACTCACGAACAGATGATTATCGGGGAGGTGGACATGGAAATTCTTCGGGATGCGGAGGAGAGTTATAAAGTGCGGGAGGACATCTCAAGACCGGATTTCCATTATCCTGTGCACGGGGATTTCATGCGCAAGCAATAGGGGAGAGTGCGTGCAAATGGCTATTGAGGGGCGATAGGTTATCCGTTTGTGGAATAACATGAAAATGAAACTTGATCGGTACAAGTAAAAGGGAAGCGCTAGTATACACAATTTTCAATCCGGTTCCCGGGATCCTCGATTGCCCCGTTAGCGTAGCTGGATCATATATGAAACAAGCGGACAAAGAAGAATAGAGTCCAATTCTCTAACCGTAATTAGAAATTGGCTTAAAGGGGTAGTCTATCTGGTCTCCCTTCTTGATCCAGCGCTTCGCCTTCTTCTTCGTCATTTGATGCTCGACAAACTTCTCCTCGCAGTACTTTTTCTTGTAGTCCTTGACGTAGCGTGGGTCCCAGAGCTCGCTGCCAACCCCGAGATCCTTACAAGTGCGCATCAAGGCATTCGATTTGCAACCTTCGGTGGCAGTGGGGATGCCGTTTGGGTCAAAGTAGTCTTGTTCGCCACGAGCAACAGAAACGAGGCTAAGGCATGTCAGCACTGAAGTACAAGCTAGGACTCGATATCACATACCGGCCATTGCAAACAAGAGCGTATTCTCTAGTGACCGTCTTTTCAGTCACAATGGTTTCACCCCTGGGCGCCAGACCCCAACCGCCAGGGCCAAAAGCCTTGTTGAGGATTCTGCGATATTTGATTTCGGGAAGATAGAGAATTCCATCTAGTGCATGACTGGTTAGTATTTCGTGCTAGGGATTCCTACCGGGAGGGGGGGCACCAGGTTTGATCTCAACATCACCGGGGTTAACTGGAGCAAGCAAAACGTCGGCTGCTTCCTTGGGGAACGGTTCCGTCGACAATCCGTGGAAAGATCTGGCCCAATCAACTTTCTCGCCCGAGCCTTCGTCAAGAAGGATTTCTGGGGCATCGTTAAAGCCGGACTTAGAAATGGAAGTATTTTGATTTTGATGCTTAATTGCAATGGGTTCGGGCCTAGCATCGATCGCCAGATATCGGACCGCGAGTCCACTGGAGGCAGGGGGGGAGATCAATCTCGCTGACGAATTCAAGGCGAGACGCCTCCCGAAAACCCTCCGAGAGAGAGAGAACATTTTTGGGAATAGGAGATGTGGAAATGGAGCACCGAATGCAAGGGGGGGGGATGGTTTGAGCTTCTCCTCTGTGGAGGTTGTTGGGTGTTGAAGGGGAGGCTTGAGGAAAGGACGGGTTTGCCTTTCGGTGGGGGGGAAGGGATGTCAGGACTAAAAGTGCCAAGACCCGTTGCAATTGGTTTTCTTCACAGGGTTATTGGAGGATGCCCCACTCCGGGGCCATCGTACCGATGTTTACGGCGTATCTGCGTATGTACGAAGTTCATACGATATGGTATTGTATGATAGGGGTTTTGTTATCACTGGACCGATATTTTTATGATATGATACCACGATTTACATGTAATGAAAAAGGCAGTCATCTACCAGTACTCTCCTTTTTGTCGGTCAATTCACTCTGGAGTCTGTTCTATCCCTATTTCCCTTCAACCTCCAACATTCTTTAAAGGCTTCCATCTGTGCTGGTTCGTAGGAGGGCCTTAGCCCAAATTCCGCCACCAATTGCTCGCAGCTGAGGAGCAAACAAACGGAGAAGTCGGATAGGGTTACAAACCTCTTTCTTGCACATTCGCCAATCCTTCTTTTCGAAGAAACAATCGTTAAGCCTCGTATTTTCCGCTGTGCTTATGTTATCATATCAAGCCTACCCCACCGTCCGTCTCATCCGAAGCCGCGGACGGCAAGGGAAACTTACCTGCACAACCAGTGTCGGATATTCTTTTGCCCCTGTGTCAATTGTTGACCCGTGAGAAAGCGAACAAAAAGTAGATCTCTCCTTCACCCACACCTTTCCCACAAGGCTTGACTTACCAAGCATCGGGCTCGTCATCCGCAACTTGCTCGGTCGGCGGGGCATTCTGCGGCGGTTGACCGTTACTCAGCATCCGGTCTGGTTTGTGCTGTATGATGCTTGGTAATTCTGTTTATCCGGTAACAGAGGATTGAGGTAATCTCCTATCGTACTTGAGTAAAAGGAGGGTGAGTGCGAGAGGGGAGATACCGGTAACTTGGGTGGTAGAGGCTTCGTTGCCTGTGTTACCAGTATACCGGTACTAATATCACCCTAGACCCCCTCCCAATCCGTTGAGCACCGCAATTTTCGGCTCTTCAAGCCCAAACCTGCTGATCACTCTAAAGATGGGCCGAATGAATGTGTTGGTGTACTCCGGTATTATACCTCCCTCTCCGGAATAACCGAGCCATTGGCTATAGCGAAAGACTCACACATACAACAGGCATAGGGACAACAGTTGAGTCGGTTAGGCACTGCCTATACTCCCTCCGCAGACTTCTATCACCCCATTATGCCGTCATCCCAGCAACGTCCGACGTGCTTCTCAAGGAGCCATGGGAGACATCTTGTGCGCTCCTCGTCATACCCGGCGGTGCGGACCTCGGGTACTGCCGAGTTCTCAATGGCGATGGAAACAGGAGGATAGCTCAATTCGTCCGTAAGGGTGGGTCATTCATTGGGTTTTGTGCCGGGGGTTACTACGGGTGCAAAATGGTAGAGTTTGAGGTCGGAAATGGAAAGATGGAAGTTGTGGGTAGTAGAGAACTCCAATTCTTCCCGGGGGCTTGCAGAGGCGCTGCATTTACCGGCTTTCAGTATGCAAGCGAGAAGGGAGCTAGGGCTCCTAAGATCAAGGTTGAGAAGGAAGCTCTTGGAGACAACGAGTTGGAGGGATTTAACTCCTACTACAATGGTGGAGGATTGTTTGTTGATGCAGACAAGTATTCCGATAGGGGTGTTGAGGTTCTCGCGCGCTTTGAAGAGAAAGAGAAGTTAAGCGTGGGGGGCGGGGATGCTGCGGTGGTATATTGCAGGATTGGTAACGGGAGTGCCATTCTAACCGGCCCACACCCTGAGTATGATTCCCCCTTCCGCTTCTAGAGGTTAAGTGACATGTGCTTATTTTGTAGATTTGCTGCTGTAAACCTGGACAAGAATGCTGGAGACAGCAAGTACCGCGAGAGAATAGAGCTGATAGAGCAGACTGACACCCAGCGTGAAGCTTTCCTGAGGGCCTGTCTAATAAAGTTGGGGCTCGGTGCTTTAGACGAGGCTGGCGCTATCCCACCTTTATCGCTACTCCACCTCTCCTCTACAAGCCCAGCAGATGTCGGGCATCTGGTAAATAGATTGAGGGAAATATCGGTCGCTGACGGGGACAGGCAAAAGATAGTCGGAGAGAACGACACCTTCATATTAGAAAGAAACCCTGAGCCATTCCAAATGGGATCCCTTGCAGACGCATTGATTGGAGAACAAGATTCCCCCCACAAAATCATTGACTACAACAAGGTAGAAAAGCGTGTGCGGGTTCATGATTCCGGGCATCCATCTGTTAAAGAAACTCCATACTTTGATCACACCGCCTATTTCAAGCATCTCGAGCGTTACCGATCTCAATCCCGTTCTTCCCCCGAAATTTTCGGTTCCTTCCTTCTTTATGGCGAGGTTGTTACTAGTACAAACACCATGCTGGACAAGTATATCCCCTGAATATCAAAGCCTGAATTGTGTCTGATGTGGGTAATTAGAAACTTCGAGCTCCTCCAACGCCTCCCGAGCGGCTTGACAGCCGTAGCCACGCTCCAAGTTGCCGGGCGGGGCCGTGGGTCCAATGTCTGGGTATCTCCAATGGGAGCGCTCGTATTCTCAACCTGCATTCGGCACCCCAGGGAACTAAGTGTTCAGGCACCAGTAGTCTTTGTCCAATACCTAGTCGCCCTCGCCATCGTGGAAGCAATTAAAGGCTACGATCTAGGTTTCGGAGATATGCCTGTCCGCCTTAAATGGCCCAATGACATTTGTGACTACCCTCTCTTTGCCCTCCCTCCCTTACTAATAGTAAACTAATCTTCCAACCAACTAGACGCCTCAAATCCTAAAAACGAAAAAGAGTTCCTCAAGATAGCCGGCATTCTCGTGAACTCCAGCTACGCCAATAACCAGTTCCTCCTAGTCGTCGGCTGCGGCATAAACACGACAAACAACGCTCCCACAACTTCCTTAAACCACATCTTGGACAAGCTCAACAAAACCCGTAAATCCAAGGGCCTATCCCGTCTACCGGCATTCGAGCAGGAACGTCTCCTGGCAAAGATCCTGGTCGTCTTCGAGGAGATGTATTACCAGTTCTGTCGTAGCGGGTTCGCTCCGTTCGAGGAGTTATATTACAAGCATTGGCTGCATAGGTCTGTGCTATGATTGAGTTGTGCGTTTTTTTATTTTCGATTAGAAAGATAAAAATGAAAAAAAAAATAAAGGGAATATGTTGGCTGATCATGGGATGGTGAGTTTTAGTGGGCAGGTTGTTCGATTGGAGATGGAAGGGGGAAGGAAGGCTAGGATTCGTGGGATTACTACGGATTACGGGCTTTTGACGGCGGATGAGCTGGATGAGAGTGGTAGGGTTACGGGACGGTCGTTTACGTTGCAGAGTGACAACAATAGTTTTGACTTTTTCAAGGGGTTGCTGAGGAGGAAGGCTTGATTTATGTTCTAGTGCGAGGTGGAGAGTCATACGGTACTTGCGGGGAGAACGGTGACTTGAAATGGCCCATAAAACAATATCGATATAAACTTTTATATGGCGAAAAAGGGTGAT